TCTTCCTATCCTATCTATCCTATGCAGAGCCTTACATTTGGACATACTGAGAGGAGCCAAGATTGAAGTCCATCCTCAGCATGGTGGCGTTTTTTGTTTTTGAAATAATTTTTATTGGTTTCACAAATTCACACCTTTAAATTTTAAAACAAGATTCTTTCAAATCTTAGGACTCCCCTCCATGGGTCCTTTAAATATCTTAATCTACTGCATATTATAGTTCATCCAAATTGCAGTCCTCCAATATGTCCAAAATCTTTGTAACATTGCAAGATTTATTCAAAGCCTACCAAAGAGGTCAAGTGTTTACAGTGTTCCTGTAAATACAATCTATTTTTGTCCCATTCTCTATTGAAGTTTTGGCCCCCCTGATTTCTGATCTCCCCCCATTCAATCTGGCCATCTCTGCATCTTGAGTGGCCTTGAGTGAATCACTCTCTCTGCTTTGGAGCAGGGTCGCCTCTGCCACAAGGCATCTTCCTGTGTATCCGTTTTGTGGAAGGTGCCCCCTGAACATGCCCTCGCATTGAGTCAGGGCTTGCGTATGATGAATCAGGTCTCAGGATACTGAAGTGCTCTCAGCGTCATGCCAGGCCACATCCTGACTGAAGCTGGAACACTCCACTCTCCTTTTCAGTCTTCTTCAACCTTGTCAGAGCTGGGTTATTTTGCCACCACTGTCATCCGTCTCCTTTACTCCTTAATGATTTACTGCTAATCTGTCTAATCCTTTCCATGAGGGAAAAAGCCTGCTGTATTTCGTCCCCAACCTGGAGCCCTGCAGATGATGTTGGACTACAACTCCCATCACCCCTAGGGAGCCTAGCTGGAGGATGTTGTGGCTGATGGGTGTTTGTGTTGAAATTGCAGCAGCAGAGATCATTCAGTTTGTAACTTAAAGGCTTGTTCTGTTAGTGCGAATGTCAAGTAGCCAAGAGAGGGACAGGTGGAGGTGTTGCTTAGCAACCAAGCAGAGTGGCATGATCTTCTCTGAGGTAGTATGTGACCTGATTGGCTGTGTAGTTCTGGGGGAGCTTTCATTTGTATGCTAGTTGAATGTCTCCCTGCTGTGTATAAGGCCTGACCTAAGCAAGACAAAACCTCTCTGTTCCTTTCCCCTCCAAATTATACACTGTTTTTGTTCTGTCCCTCTGTCAATTGTTACTAGGACTTTCCCCACTAGACTCACATCTGCCTTGTTTAAGGGACAAGGTGTAGTCCAAAACTTCTGCAGGGCACCAGGATGGGGAAGGTTGGGCTTCAATGGAGTGGGGAATTTTCCCCTCTCAGTCAGAGGGCCTCATTCCCTCATGAACCACCTTCCAAGGGGCTGCCTGCAAGTAGTGGGTGAAGCAACAGTTGTGTGTTTTACTTTTAGACTACATTCCACCCATGCAAAAGTCATCTCTCCGTTCTGACAAGTGAGAGTCATTATCACTATTCAAGAATAAATTCAGGCCAAGCAAAGATATAATGAAGATATTAACAGGAATATGACAATGTGGCAAAAGGAACTCTACTTGCAGGCCTGACCTTTAGAAATCACAGCTTTAGGACTTCCGGGGTGGCGCCATCGGTAATGGCGGATTCTCTCTGATCCGGAGGGACTGGATCCACAGGAAACGGGTCTGTTCCGCTACGGCGAAGTGGGGACCCTTTAAAAAATCACAGGCGGATGAAGCCTGTGACCATGGGACTCGGCGGGCACCTTTTGCGCCCCCCAATTCGTAAAGGAACCCAATTACGGGCTCCGGAGCGAAGAGGGGTTAGTGGCGCGGTGCTGAGAGTCAACTGCTTCTTCCGTGGAGTGAAGCCGCACAGCCGTTGCCGGAGAGCGCTACCTTTTTCCTGGGACAATTTGGCTACAAAAACAACTACCCGTGAGCAGATCAAATTTGGACAATTGGACTTTAAACAACGATCTGTGAGTAGAACGGAAAATTGGATTAAGAAATTCCTCTTAATTTGGCACTGAAGCGGGAAGGTCTAAACAGGAAGTCAGCCTTCCGTTTCTTGTAGATAGATTAAAGCAAAGACATGGCAAACTAGAGTGTAGAAAATCGTTTGTAAAGGATCAACTTTCATCATTTAAAATTACTGAACCCCCTTCGGAAGCAGGAGAAGAGGGGGGATTTTTTCCGGATTGTTTAAACCTGCAGAAGAGAGTGTAAGAAAAGTAATTTTCCACCGTCTTGAACCTGGGAGCAGGGTGTCAGGACAGACGTTTTTGGGAAGTTCATTGACTATAGACAAATGTTTTTGACAGACAGTTAAAAGAAGAGAAACATAGTGATTCCATTGTCCTCTTTCGCACTTTAAAGGAGCAAATATTGACAAAATATCTGAAAAAGGAAACTTTGTTGTTAGATCTGCTGTTAAAAAAAAGAAGAAAAGAGTTGGATACAAATAGAAGTTCTTCCCCTAGAGGGAGCTTGTGAAACTGTTATTGAATTTGAACTGGGGAGCTTCGCAGCTGCAATAGATTAAGATCGTGGGAATAGACTTCTGACCTTGTATAACAATGTACTCAGAGGCTCTGGTGCGTGCTTTCTGCAAAACAAGTGCTTTATTGGAACAGTTACATGAAAAGACAGATTTGATGACTGTTGCGATCAGAAATTTTGGACAGGTAGTGAGTATCTATATAGAACCCACTCAGGAATCAATTCAGGAGTGTGCTCTGACAGATCAGATGAAGGAGGAGGTTGTGGTTGGACCCCGGGAGGCAGAGGTGGAGGGAACCGTGGCCCAGCAGGAACATGAGTGGTTGGACCTGACGAATGAACCTGGAAAAAGCCAGATTTGGAGAGATAGAGTCTTGATTGGTTTGGAGATGGGGGGCTGGATAGACCCCCCTATGCAGGGATGTTTTGACTTTTCAAGTCTTGCGTTGGGCCGGGAGGTGTTTGGAGTTGTGGGGGTCCTCAATTTTGGAGGGACCTTGAAACATGTTTTTAAATACCACATGGAGTTCAGTGTGGACTATGGAAAAGGGGCTGATCTGTCGAGAAGGGACAAAAATACTGTCAAGCTGGAGTCTCCACGAGTGAAAGGAGCAGAAGACAAAGTAAAGTACAGGTATAAATATGAAGAAGATCTGTGGAAGGGACATGGAAGAGACTTAAGGGCCTCGGACATAAGGTTACCAGGTTAATGAACTAGATGGATGGGATAGAAAGGACTGACAAAACCCGAGACCAGGAGGAAGAGACGTTGGATGAAGATTGGAGAAAGTTTCAAAAATTCTATTTAGGAATGTTTTCTAAAATTTATGAGTATTAGAAAAATGTTGGAACGAAATTATTTGGCTTTAGCAGAAATTTTAAAAAGAACTATGCAAGAATATGTTATGGTTATGAGAAATTGGTATAGATAAGACTTCATTTTTAAGTTTTAGGGTTTTTTATAGTAAGATAAGGTTAAAATAGATTAAGGTAATTTAATGACAGAATATTATGAAAAATGGGAAGGATTTGCTGTGATAATCAATAACTAGAATACAAAAAAGGGAGGGGTGAGGAGGTCGATGAAATAAGGTAATGACAGTTAAGGATTTGGGAATATTGGATCTGTTTTTAAACTTTTGTGGTTTATTGTTGTTTTTTGATTTTGATGTGTTATGTGTTTTGTTTTTGATTTTTATCGACTTGTATTGTTTGATTGTTGTTTGTTTTTTCCTTGTTTTTTTCTTTTTTTTCTTTTTATCTTTTCTGTAATCTTAAAATTCTTAATAAATATCATTTAAAAAAAATAAAATAGAAACCACAGCTTTCAGAGTAAAGCCGTGAATTTTCCAAAGCTTAGAAACTTTCAGAAGGCAGAGAGGCTTCTTAGGACATGGACTGAGAAGTCCAAGGAGTCTTTGGCAGGAACTAGGCCAGCCTCCCCCCAACTTGGTGCCTTCCAGCAGCTTTGGACTACAACTGCCACCAGCCACCAGCAAGGCAACTGGGGGCAAGGACATTTTGCTGCCTGAGGCAAAGGGACAAGAACACCCCCCTTCCCCATATAGGATTCAGCTGGATGTCACTTCAGCATTAGTGGGCTGAGAGCATCCTCCACCATCCCTATGGCGACAGGTTCGTTCAGGGTGGCCAGAACAGGGCATGTCTCATGCACAGCTCTGTCTCCTCCAACAAAATGAAATGGTCAGAACTTCTGGACAGCAAAAAGTCTGCCCTCCAGCATCTGCTGCCCAAGGCAGCTACCTCACTTTGCCTCTTGGTAGAGCCAGCCCCAACTGGGGATGATGGAAGTTGTAGTCCTATATATATATATATAAGTCTATTACAAGAGTGAAAATTCTCCTTAGGTATTTAATTTTTTTTTTAAAGTCTGTTCATCTCCCTACGTACCGTATTTTTCCATCTATAAGATGCCCCCGACTATAAGGGGGACTCAGATTCAAGAAAATGGGGGAGATGGCCCAGAGTATAAGACACCCCCTAATTTTTGACATTATTTTTTAGGGGGAAAAACCCTAGTCTTATACATGGAAAAATATGGTAAACTAAGGACATCCACAAGTGCTATGTGCCAGGTCACAATCCCCAGATTAGTCCAGCAATTTTTGCACAATGATGTTGTCTGATCTCTTGTCTCCTGCATCTTTAACGTGATCCTGGGTGATGCAGAGACTGCCCCGGCTGATTGACTCTCTGTTTAACCTTTCCCGATGTATTCATAAACACTTTGCAGTTACCAAGGGGAACAAAAGCCTCCCTCTGTATGTGCATGCTTGCAATTGTGGCATTGTCATGACTTACTCTCCACACACAACCAAGTGTCAAGGGCTGCAGAAACTGAGGGGAATCCAGGGAGGGTTTCTTCAGGGGCGGCGCAAGGGGGGGGGTTCGGGTGTGTGTCGCCCCGGGTGCCATGCTTGGGAGGGCGACAACCCCCCACTGGGCTGATTGGCATGGCGGCGCTTGCACCCCCTGTGGGCGGATTTTCGCAACTGGTGTGATTGTCGTTGCGAAAATATGCCTGCTGATCGTGCAAATATGCCTGGTGTACGGTGCTGGCCGCCAGGGATGCATCCACTGGAGGGCGGCGCTTGCATCCCTGGCGGCCAGCACCACACACCGGGCATATTTGCATGATTGGTGGGCGGTGCTGGCACCCCCAGGAGGATCAGTGCACTGCCGCTGGCACCCTGGGAGGATCGGCACACACCCATGGGTGGATCGCCCCGCCTCCGTAGGCAGATCACCCTGCCCCTGGGTGCATGTCATGCCTAGCCCTGGTGCTCTCCCCCAAGCTCTGTCTGCCTGAACCGTGTCACCCCTTAAGCGGACGACATGGAGCTCATTGCCATTAACCTCCTCAGTGAACTGGAAATACCACTTATTCCTTCAAGCAGGCAGGAACAACCCCCTCTTGCAAGAAGGCATTGATCACCTCCCTGGCCCAGCCAGCTGTCCCCTCCCTTCTAGTTTTTATCAGCCACAAGGGGCAAAGGTACAGAGAGCAAGTGGTTGCCCTGACCAATCCAAGCACCTTGTCCACATCCTTGAGCCTTACTAACTGAAACTCATCCAACACAGCAGGACTAGACACCCCTTGATATTCATCTGCTGTCACAGGAGAGTCAAGATGAATGCAAGCCATTTTGCCCTCAAAATGCTTCCAAACAACTCACAGTGAGCTGCTGTCAGTTCTGCACCTCCTTTGGGCCAGTCTCTCACAGGCCCCAGACTCAGGTTGTGTATATTTGTAAATAAAACCATATAACCAAAAGACACGGCAATCTATGTTTACTTTCATTCCAAGAAAACTGAATTCTGGCTAAAGGTCTTGGAATCCCTGGAGTCTCTCAATGCTTGAAGATTGGGATGGCCTACAACTGTACCATCTGAAATTAATCTCTGCTTCAGTTTACATAAAGACTGCCTGTTTTGTCTTTGTTCGTGTTCTGCACCTGTCAAAATAACCTGTGTGTTTCACCAGAGGATGAAGACAGAACCGACGAACAGCTGTACATCTTCCAATGCTGATGGCCATGTTGGCTGAGGCTGATGGGATTTGTATCCAGAAACATCTGGAGACGGGGAATTGTGGAAGGCTGGTCTAGCCTAACATTCTGTCTCCAAAGGTGGCCAACCAAATGTCTTGGGGAAAGAGGCACAGAAAGGACAACAGCCCTCCCACATGGCTTTCAGAAACCAGTCCCACAAAAGTAGACCCACTGAAGTTAATGGACATGATGAACTTAGGTTCATTAAGCTCAATGGGTCTACTCTGAAATTACCTTAGGACAGATCCATACCGTACATTTAAGCCACATTCAACACATATTTAAAGCACATGGCTTTCCCCCACCAAAGAATCCTGGGAGTTGTACTTTCTCAGGGGTGCTGGGAATTGTAGCTCTGCGAGGGAAAACCATAGTTCCCAAGATTTTGGGGAAAAGTTAAATGCTTTAAATTTATGGTACAGATCTGCCCCTAGTTGGATATAACCCTTTATTTCTATTGCACCTTTCCTCTGGGACACTCAAGGTAGCTTACAAGCTACCATTTTATTTTCGCAACAACCCTGTGAGGATGGTTACAGCATCAGCCTAGGACCCAGGAGGCCACGGTTCAAATCCCAAATCAGTCATGAGGCTCTCTGGGTGTGACCTTGAGACAACTGTCATCTCTCAGTACATGTGTCCCCATCACGCTGCAGCCTCCCTGCTTCCCTTCACCACCATATGAAGAAATCTCACAGCATCTTCCCCATGGCTTTAATTAAATTATGGTCAGCTGGGGGCTGTAGAAAGCAGATCCCTGGAGAAATGATTTGTAGAATGAGAGGAAGCACACACCCCAGACACCTCAACCACTTTGAAACTAAGGTAAACCCTGTACTCAACCCTGAATAATTTCCTCTCCTTTTGTATGACTTTCATTTTCTCATTAATTGATGAAGAACGGTAATAGAAAAATGCAGGAGAGATTTTCAGCCAGCACTGGTCCCCGACATGAGACAGCATTTCTGGGGTGTGCGGCTGGCATGATAAAGCAAAGACTTGCTGAGAATCAGCCTCTGTGGTGGGTGGGATAATAATGTCACCCTAACGAGAGGCAGCCAGTTGTAACTTCCAGCGTCTAACTCAAAGCAGAGACCTGACTCTCTTCCGCCACCTGCTGGTGTAAAAAACACACACACATCATGTGCTGACATTTTACGCACCGAAGCATGCTGATGAAATATTAGATATTTATTGTTCATATGGGATCCGGGGCCTCCATGCAGATTGAACCGTAGCTTGACATTTATTTACCGCCAAATGAATTGCACCGCTCTTTCGGTCATCTTGGTGTTAACAGATGGTGATGGTGGTGAAGTACTGTTTACAGTGGGCCACAAGAGGTCACTGTTGGTATAATATATATTTTCTTCCCGGTGGTGTTTCCCTGGTTTTCCGTTTCTTCCGTGCTTTTAGAAACACAATATCTGCAGAGCTGGAAGGGACCCTGAGGATCATCTTAGCCCAAACCCCTGCAATGAAGGAATATGCAGCTGTCCCATACGGGCATTGAACCTGCAATCTTGGTGTTACCAGCACAGCGCTCTAACCAGCTGAGCTATCCAGGCTAGATACTTCTTTGTTTTGGGTTAGACATAGGCAGTTGCGATGTCAGGCCATACTGGAAGATTAGGACAGGACACAACGCATCATTAAAGTATGGGACTTAGTTAAACAATGGAACTCCCTGCCACAGGAGGCAGTTGGTTGACCACCAACCAAGATGGCTTTCAAAGAGAATTGGACCAATTCATGAAGGAGAGGGCTACCAATGGCTATGAGCCATGATGGCGATCGTCTGCCTCCACAGCTGGAGACAGCAATACTTCTGAATCCCAGTTGCTGGTAAACACAGAAGGGGATAGGGCTCTTGTGCTTGAATCCTGCTTGGTTAGCCATTGTTAGAACAGGAAGCTGGACTGGATGGGCCATTGCTCTGTTCCATCAGGCTCTTCTTATGGAATTCTCTCCCACAAGAGGTAGTGGTGGCCACCAATTTAATGGAGGATGAGATTACCATGTGGCTACTAGCCATGATTTCTATATTCTACCTCTGATGTTGGAAGCACCATGCCTCAGAATATCACTTACTGGGAATTGCAAGTGGAGAGAGCGCTGCTGCTGTGCTCTGCTTCTGCTTGTGGCTTTCCCAGAAGAGGCATCTGGTCGACCGGTGTGAGAATAGGATGCTAGACTGGCCTGATCCAGCAGCCAGACCTCTCTTATATTGTTATGGATGGCAGCCAGAGAAGTCTATGTATTGATGGCTTTGCCAAAAAAAAATCATCATTAAACGAAGGGGTCTTTTCAGCAGGTCTGAAAATGTTCCAGAAATACAGAGGGCAGTTTTGTCTGAGCTCTAGAAGAACATGGTTCTGAGTCTGGGCTGTAAATTCAGTGGTACCTGTTTACGAACTTAATTCGTTCTGGAGGTCTGTTCTTAAGCTGAAACTGCTCTTATCCTGAGGCGTGCTTTTGCTAATGGGGCCTCCCGCTGCGTGCACTCCTCCGCCATGCAATTTTCGTTTGCATCCTGGGGCAAAGTTCGCAGTCAAGAGCAGCTACTTCCTGGTTAGCAAAGCTCGTAACCTGAAGCATTCGTAACCAGAAGGGTTCGTAACCAGAGGTACCACTGTAGCCTTATATTTCTATACCACCTTTCCTCCAAGGTGTCATATGAAATTCTTCCCCCCCCCCATTTTATTCTCACAACAGTTCTGGGAGGGAGATAAGGCCCCACGGTCACACCCAGTAAGCTTTGTGGCTAAGTGGGGATGTCAAATGGGAGCTCCCAGGTCACAGGCCAAAACACTTAACCACAAGTGGCGGCCATTTTGTGTGGGGGTTCCAATCCTGGCCCCTGCACATGTTGATGGAATGAATGAATGAATGAATGTGATGGAGCTCACATAAGCCCGCCCCATTATGCCCCGTCTCACCCCTGTTCTGCTCTCTTCCACGTCCAAAAGGAACTGTAGTCGCGCATCAACTGGACGTGTGCAGAATGGTCGCCACCACCTGTACTGCTCCATTCTGGCTCTCCCACTGGTTATAATTTTATAACATGGGTAATGGATGTACATCTGGGACAGTAACCATGCCTGGGTTAAGAGCGGTAGACTTGTAATCTGGTGAACTGGGTTCGCATCTCCGCTCCTCCACATGCAGCTGCTGGGTGACCTTGGGCTAGTCACACTTCTCTGAAGTCTCTCAGCCCCACTCACCTCACAGAGTGTTTGTTGTGGGGGAGGAAGGGAAAGGAGAATGTTAGCCGCTTTGAGACTCCTTTGGGTAATGATAAAGCGGGATATCAAATCCAAACTCTTCTTGGCTAGCTGTTGAGTTTTTAAGAAAAGAAAAGAAAAGAAAAGAAAAGAAAAGAAAAGAAAGGAAGGAAGAATATCAAGTGAATACGGTGTTCTAACGCTGAAGGTATTTATTTGACAGTTTTTGCTGACCTTGGAAAGCAATATTCTAGGAAGTGAAGGCGCTGAGTCATTCTGTATGAAATCACCAACAGAGGGCTGCCTGGAAGGCTGTTGAAGGACAGGAGTTAACCATGCATGATGTCATCCTAACAGGGGAGAAAATCGTACATCTCCAAACTGTCTTTCAATGCTAGTGGAAGGTTGGTTCTTACAGCAATGCATTCCCAAAGGTTTGGGGGAAAATAGCTAGACATTAAATCAGCGGAGGGCTGATATATTCTCTCCCTGCACTCCTCTTTAAAATAATAATAATAAAAAATCAGAGGTATGGCGAAAATGAGAGAAAGCTGCTCCTACCCAAGAATACAGGAGACCAAATCCTTCAACACTCAGGCTACTAATCTGATGCTGTAATCTGGGTTTGAATTGAACAGTCCAGCGGGCCAGAGAGGAAAGCAGAGAGAACAAAGTCTCAGGATTGTCAGTGGAACGAATCTCATTGTGTTGATTCATAGGCAAAGCTTTGTTCTGAGAAAAACATGATCTAGAAGTCCAGAATAACATAACCAGGACCTGCTGGATCAGGCCAATGGCCCATCTAGTCCAGCATCCTGCTCTCTTAGGAGCTCTGAATGATTTTAGGAATAATCTTAAGAGCTTTGAAGAAAGTCATAGCAACATTAAGTAAAAGGAAGTAGCTAGATAAAAGTGCTTAGAAAATAACAGGGGCAAATAGTACGAATTAAGAATAGCACTGTAATAGCTTTGACAAAGCATCACAGCATGTCCTACTTTACAGGGGACAACCATAAGAACACAGGAAGCTCCCTTATACTGAATCACACCCTTGGTCCAGCTAGGCCAGTATTGCCGACACGGACTGGTGGCTGCTCTCCAGGGTTTCAGACAGGAGCCATCCCTACCTGGAGATGCCTGGGACTGAAACTGGGACCTTCTGCATGCAAAGCAGGTGCTCTACCTCCAGCTCATCCGTCCTCTTTAAATTTCCTACCCTAACTGAAGAGCTGGCCTCTTTTGAACCAAGACTCTTGGAGAATGAGAATATAAGAAGAGCCTGCTGGACCAGATCAATGGCCCATCTAGTCCAGCATCCTGTTCTCACAGTGGCCAACACAGTTTTGCCAGGGGGAAACCGACAAGCAGGACCTGAGCAACTCACAGTAGCGAATCTCTCCATCTCCTGTGGCTTCCAGGAGGTGGAGAACCATATTGTGGCTAGCAGGCACTGATAGCTTTATCCTACATGAATCGCCATCATAATAAATACCCCTATCCTACCTCCCTATCACCCCCAGGGAAGTGCCAATCTCCTGTAGCAACTTGCACCACCAGCACTTTCTCACTCCAGATATTACGTGTGTCCACATACACACCCGTCCCCCCATCCTGTTTGCAGACCTGGTCTCCATGGCATTCTCCCACTAGAGAAATGTTCCCGGTGCACTTTGAAGAGAGAGGAGGGGAGGCTGAGAAGCTGTCAGCTCTCCCCATCCGTTTCTCCGTCAGATGGTTTTACACCCCCACAAAACAAAAGGCAACCCGAAACAGTGGTTGTCCCACAACACTCCCTCCTTTCCCCATAACTCATTGGCCCGGTTCCTTGGGAGTAGGCAGGGAACCATCTGAAGCAAATTCTTTTAGATTTGCACTTAGAGCCTTTCAGGCATGTCTGTTTCTCTGACGTGTCATATCTTATTTTTCCTTTCTCTCCACATCCCCTTTTTTCCTTCTTCTTCTTCTTCAAATCCACCTTTATCTCCCCTCCCATCCATCCTGCTCTTTTTAGTCTTTGTGTCGTAAGTGTTTGTTCGAAAGATTTACAGCCTGCCCTTATCCAAAAAGAGAGAAGGTGATATGTGGTCATAAAAAACACACGATGACATTGCCGTTAAAATAATACAAAAGCAATAAACTCAACAGTAAAAAAGCCCCTCTGTAAAGCAAATATCATAAAATGGCTCGCAGTTACAAGGAGTGGGGAGGGGGGAATCACAAGTGAAATGAAGAAATGGGGATTGTCCGAAAAAAACAAGCATCCCTGCCACTTCCATCATCTCCTGGAGTAATTGTCTTCTGCCCCTCTTTCCTTCTTTCTTTCTAGTTACTGAAGTTAAACGTGGTTGGTTGTTAGTACAAATTAGGAGCACAGGGACATAGGATGCCGCCTTACACAGCAGCTGTCTGCATTGCCTTATACAGTACTGTCTACACTGATTGGCAGCAGCTCTCCAGGATTTCAGGCAAGAGTCTCTCTCCTCCCTACCTGGAGATCCCATCAGGGATTGAGCCTGGGACTTTCTGCATGCAAGACAGTGCTCCACCACTGACCTCTGGCCCCTTCCCTTAATCAGTGCTGTGCCTAAAACTTATCCTGCATTAAAAAAACAACAACACACTATTCCCCATCAATTAATGGGAAAAGAAAATGAAGTGTAGAGAAAAATTCAGTGAAGTGCTTATGGTTGCCGTGCTGTTGTTTTGTCCATTTCTAGGTTACCAAGCTGGGACGCGGGTGGCGCTGTGGGTTAAACCACAGAGCCTAAGACTTGCCGATCAGAAGGTCAGCAGTTCAAATCCCTGCGACAGGGTGAGCTCCAGTTGCTCGGTCCCTGCTCCTGCCAACCTAGCAGTTCGAAAGCACGTCAAAGTGCAAGTAGATAAATAGGTACTGCTCTGGTGGGAAGGTAAACGGTGTTTCCATGCGCTGCTCTGGTTTGCCAGAAGCGGCTTAGTCATGCTGGCCACATGACCCGGAAGCTGTACGCCGGCTCCCTCGGCCAATAAAGTGAGATGAGCGCTGCAACCCCAGAGTCGGCCACGACTGGAACTAATGGTCAGGGGTCCCTTTACCTTTAGGTTACCAAGGGATGAATGTGAACGTGTTTCCTCTTCTGTAAATAAGTGTGGGGAACCATGCCCCCCCCGATCTGTGAACTCCAACTCCCATCATCCCTGGCCAATAGCCATTCTTGGTGGCACTGATGGGAGTTGTAGTCCAGCAACATTTGAAGAGCCAAAGGTTCTCTGGACCTGCTCTCTGCATCTCTTTGGAGATCTGCACTCTGCCACCTTTCTGGGTGCCCACACTTCAATTAAAGCTCTTGTATGGTCCCCCCCCT